TATATATATATGATTTGCAGACATTATCAGACACATGTGACTGCAGGTCAGCTCCCAGGACAGCCAGAGGGCAGCTGTTGAGACTCATCTCTCACCTGGAGTGCTCCCTTGGTCCACCGACCATGCTGAACTTTGCGTTTCTGTGGTTTGTCTCTCTTTATGTTCTTCGGGTTGAGGTGTAACTTGCTTTCTTGTGTTTCTGTTGGCTAGAGGATATGGGAGGATCGAGGCAGGAGTTCAGAAATGCTCAGAACATAAAACGCCTTTCATGTATTTATTCATATTTTGAATTAAACTGAATCTATATGAGTTGATTTCGTAAGCTCCCAAACCACAGGGCAGTTTAGCTGCAGTAAAAATGGCTTGAGATGTTCAGCAGCCACTGTGCCAAAAACAAAAACCTTCTGGGGAACAAGAGGGACTAATGGGAAGGGACAAAGGCGTATGGGGGATGTTCTGAACCTACACTATATACTTGTATATACTTGCATGAAAACAGTCTTAGTACTATGTGTGTGTGTGTGTGTGTGTGTGTGTGTGTGTGTGTGTGTGTGGTGTATGATTAATGGAACATACCACATTCTAATCCCTCAGGCTGGATGAGGAACTGAGTAAGGGCATAGGCTATGTAAAGGAGCTGTAAGATCCAAGGAGTGACGGCATCTATCAGATCAACTCAGGCTTGGAAAGCCTAGTTCTCGAAACTAGTAGACATTGTTTATTTCTATTTTTTATTTTATTTTTAAGTGTGTGTGTGTGTGTGTGTGTGTATGTGTGTGTGTGTGTATCTAAACATGAGTGCAGTGCCCTTGGAGGCCAGCAAAGGGCATTGAATCGCCTGAAGCCAGTTACAGACAGTTGGGAACCACCTAACCTGAGTGCTGGGAACCGAACTCAGGCCTTCTGCAGGAGCACTCTGTGCTCTTGACTGCTAAGCACGTCTCTAGGCCCAGGTAGACAGCCTTAATACTTGCTTAATGAGTGATTATTCTGAGGCTGCTAAAATCAGCTGTCATCCGGTTGGGCCCACAGTGTTTGGTCTGTTGGGCTGTGTGCTGGCTCATCTGCTCCCTTAGTTCCCTTGGCAGTTACAAGAGGACCCACGTACAGTTGCTTGCACACTGACACGTGTTGCTCCAGGAAGAGTTCCCTGAGCACAGTACATAGAGCAATCCGTTTACTCTGCGGAAACCTTTCTTGCAGTCACAGTTCAGCATGGTGCCATTCTTGTAGGCGAGGGCTTTGAATGTGGCGTAGGGGACTTCTGGTGGGTTATACAGACACATCTCTGTAAAGAGAAAGAAGCCTGTTAGCTCAGGAGGCCCTGGTCAGACACATGCTTGATATGTCTTTATTTAAAGGACTAATATATGCTCCACTTTTTCCTGGAAAGGAACCGAGGCTGCCACATGCTGAAAGGGAAGCAGAGCTGTTGGGATTCTCTTATATCAGTAGTGTGAGCACAAAAAAATCACTCGAGAAAATGTTTGAAACGAAGTTAAGCATACACCTACTCTATGGTCTAGCACTTCCACTCTGCGGTGGTTAAGAGGAGTGAGATGATTCGCACACAAAAAGACTTTTACAAAGACTTCTAGTAGCCAGACTGATAACCAACCCAAGGTGGTACATACCTGTAATCCCAGATCTTGGGAAGCTGAGGCAGGAGGATCACAAGTGTGAGGCCAACTTGGCCTACTTAGAGAAGCAGAGACCTTGTCTTAAAAGCAAAGCCAAACCAAAATAACTCAGCAACTTAAATACCTAACACTGTGAGGCTATCTAAATAGAGTCTGATAGATTCATAAATTCTCAGACACCAGAAGAGTGAGCTACTGCTGCACACAACATGGATAAATCTGAAAAAAAATGTTGAACAAAAGAAGGTAGTCATACTATTTGATTCCACTTATATGAAGTTCAATGAATGGCAGAGCGTAAATGCAGAGAAATTGGTGCAGACGTTTCCTGTGGTAGGTGGGGATCAATGAGACAGAGACAGCAAGAAAATCTCAGTGTCGATCATACATTTGTCCAGACTCGTCAAGTTCTGCACTTCAGATCTGACCACGCAGCTTTTCAGAAATATTGCTCTAACATGTCACACATACATAATAAAAATAAGTAAAATAAAGTAAAACCCATGGTTTGAGGGCTGGAGAGATGGCTCAGTGGTCGCTACACTTGTTACACAATCATGAGGACCAGGGTTTGTGGTCCCAGCACCTATGAACAAACTGGGTGTTCCTGCACATGCCTGTAACACTAGCCCGAAGAGGGTGGAGACTGGAGGACTGCTGGGACTTGCTGGCTTTCAGCCAAGCTGAGAAAACCTAAGTCTCGGGTTCAGGGAGACTCTGTCCCAAAGGAATAGGTGGAAAGTGATAGAGGGGAACATCTGATGCCCTATGCTGGCCTCCATGTGCACTCTGGCATGTGTTCCTGTACACATATGTGCATATACAACTCACATAGACACATTCACACATACATAAGTCAAAAAAATAAATCTTTAAAAATAACTTTTCTATAACTAATTCCACTGCAACAAAAATCAATGAACTCAGCAATTCTTTAGTAATTATTCATCAGCACAAGCAGTCAAGGCTCCATCTTGGATGTATTTGGAATTTGGTGTTGTAACTATAAGCTGAGAAAGCATCTAAAATTTGAGGAGGGTTGGATAAGTTGCCTTTCAGGTAGTTTTGTGCCTCCAGAAATTCTTCAACATATGATGGTGTGTTTTCCTAGACAAGGCCATGGAAATTTCCACAGTTATCGTGAGTTAATCTAACATACCATGTGAGGGCAAAGGTTAAGTTCTAGAACTTTCTACCCACAGACTTTTCCTTTCCTAAAGGAATCTTCCCTAGAATGCAAACACTGCCCAGGTCTCTAGCTGAGTCCCCAGTAAGGACCTTGCTTATAGTCCTTTTCCCTGAAAAACCTTGTCGAAAGCATCCCAAAAATTATCCCAAGAACTTGAGAACCAGAAGAGCCAGTGGGACAGGAAGCCCTGGGAATTTGTCTTCTTTTTAATCTACTAGGAATAAGCTGAGTTATTTTTAGCTCTTCTCAGTCTGGTGTCCAAAAAGAACGGTACAACATCTGAAAAAGAATAAAAATAATTTGTCTAGAAGATGCTTAGAGAGGTCATCATGGAGAACTCATGCGCCCAACTCAGAAAAGCATCCTGACGTGCGTCCTTCATCATGTGGCATCATTCTCTAGTTCTACAGAACTCCCCAAGAACTCAGAAAATCCCTCTTTGGAATTCAGCCAATGGGGCTTTTCTCTAACTTCGTTCTTGCTTCTGTCTTTCCAGATCTACTTCCTGCTTCTACCAGTGGCTCTGGTTTTAGACATATCATCCTATCCACCCCAAGTTTCCAGTTCTCAGCTCTTCTTATCCCCCAGCTCCCCTCACAGCGGAACCCGAAGCTTGGGGAAGAGAGCTTTCTTTAGATGGTAGGACAGGGAATATTTCAAAGTATTGTTGCCATTTTTATTTAGATGTTATTTTCATTTCTGAGGGTGACGTGCCCAGTGCCTATGGAGTAGAGAAAATAATGATTTTACCAACTCGGGGGAGGGAGGTGGTGAATTAAAAATTCCCAGAACTGGAAATGTGGGGCCCCCAGGAGACTCCTAGCACAGACTCCAAGGTACACGGGTGTGGCTTTGCATTTTGCTTTTATACCTTTCATGTAGGCAGAGTGTAAAAAAGGCAGCCAATGGTTATCATCAGCCTTGATAATCCCAAGGGCTCAGAGGTGCTTTCAGAGAGGTTTGCACTAGACTCAGGGTTTAGTTGGTGGCTGGGGGAAAACTGGGTGGGTGAGAAACATTTGTTTGATGGGAGCTGTTTTTTGTTGTGTGATCTCTGATGTTAAAATGTGAACTCATCTAACCCCTGAGGCCATGTGAGTGTCATGAAAAGGATAGAAAAGGAAGGGGCTCCTGAAGGATGTGGACAGAGTTCGAGATAAGGGTCTCTCCGAGGGATTCAAGGTCAAGTTATTTTGCTTGCAGTGAAACCAGCACTGAGAAGGTGGCTTGTCTTTGTGCCTCTCCCTTTCTGTCTACACAACAGGGATGGAGGGAGAAGATTAGAGTAACTCGACAAGCACAAAAGCTTCTAGGTGAGCATTTACTAAGCTTCACAAGGGACTCAAGAGTGTGCCACGATCTTGAGTTACCTGTAAAGAAATGGTCTGGCTTTCAGCCTAGAGTCGTTCTTTGCATCAGATCCAGTAAGAAAGCCAAGGATAATGACAGGATTGTCCCCAACCCAAACCAGTGGTTAGGCCCTGTAGACAGTGTTTCTGTGCAAAATAAAATACATAGGATGTGATGAATATGTCTTTTAGTAGGATCAAAATGATCTGAGAACTGGTAGAGTCATAGGTAAGAAGCACAGCCCAGTCCTTTCCGTGGGTTGTACAAACCCAAGATAAGATCCAACTTCTGTGACACCAAGTTTGGAGGCTCCCTTCATGTCAGAGATCCATAATCTCCAAGGGGGGGAGTGCTTCCCACCCCCATCAGGGTTAGCTCATGTGGAGGGATATCTCAGCTATCTAAGCTATCTGGGTACTAGGCGGTGTTTATGTGATGTTGTGGTTCAGTTCAGATCGTTATCTACGAAGTCAGGGCACCTAGGCCCTCCACTTGGGGTTTTTTATGTAATAACAGCTATAATGTCTCAGCTCTGTCTTGTGCGTATGACCTCAAATGCTCCCTGGAGCCCTGAAAGAGAAATACAGCCATCCCCACTGCACACAGCAGGAGACCAAGCCTTGAAGTCGAGGAGCTCAAACCACAGCCCTTGAGGTGGTGGGGCAGAAGCTGCATTAAGTGGCCTTACAGCTACCTTCATTTTTGCCTTAAAAAAATCTCACTTTTACTTTTAGGAAATTCTTTTAAATAACACGTGTAAACGTGTTAGGAAGAAACAAGGATGAAGGGGGCAGGGGTGTGAATCTATAATTATCTTGAGGCAAGAAATTAAATACATGAACACTCTCGGTTTTCCGGTCTCTGTTTCTCTTAATGACTGTTACCATCTGTGTCACTGTAATGTGACACTGAGGGTATCATCTTCATTCTTCGCCTTCATATCTACTCAGCTCCCAAGAGTTGCAACACTCTTTGACTCAGAACCCTCTCTTTTGACTTTTAAGACTCTCCTGCAGCTGCCTGACTGCACACCTGTGTGGCAATAACATCCTGCCATTTCTCTCTGCCTCCCTTCTCTCTATCCTTCCAGTTGTCTTTCAAATACTGTCAAAGCACAGAATTAACTAGAGGTGACATCCAGTGTGCCCCTCACTGGTGTGGTTAAGCTCTATCCATAGCACCACCAACAGACCTCTGTTTTCTTTGGACCCAGGAAGTCTTTTTGTCTAACATATGTAAGTTCTTAGCAAGAAGCGCTGAGTATTTTCTCACTTTACTTGTCGAGTTGCCAGTCAAATAGCAGATAGCTGATTCCTCTGAACTGTCAGTCAGCCACATGGCAGTAGCATCTTCCAGGACATCACCTTTTTTGTCACGCTGATTTGTTCTTCTGAAAGACACATGGGACCCTCTACAGAAAATTCTGCCCCTGCTTAGGAGTCCTTATCTGTTTGGTGTTTGAAAGGTGGATGAGAGTCCAGCTGGTAGATTAAAGAAAACAAGCCATTGGCAGAAGGGTGTGTAACAGACTGTATCAGTTCCTCTCCGTGTTGTTGTGATAGACTAGCTGACAGAAGCAACTTACAAAAGGAAGCGTTTACTATGGCTCACAGTTTAAGAGAACAGCGCGTGGGGTGGCAATCATGTGAAGAAGCTGGTTACCTTGCATCTGCTGTCGGGAAGCAGAGCCTCAATGCTGAGGCTCAGCTGGCTGCTTCCTTTAAGGCATCCCAGCCCATGGAATGGCTGTCACCTATATTTAGGCTGGGTCTTCCCCCCATCACTTAGGAGATCCAGAAAATCCCTGGTAGACATGTCCAGGGATTTGTTTCCATGATGATTCTACATCCCATCAGCTGACAATGAGACAAGTCATCACAAATGCTTTTCTCTATTTGGTGACTTTCACTGGACTGTGACTTATAAGGGACAAAAACGTAAACATTCCTTGAAATAATATCAGCAGGGGCTAGAGAGACGGCTCAGTGGTTAAGAGCACTGACTGCTCTTGCAGAGGACCTTGGTTCGATTCCCAGCACCTACATGGCAGCTACGAACCATCCTTAACTCCAGTTCGAGGGGAATCCGAAGCCTTCTTCTGATCTCCACGGCATTACATGACGCGGGTGCATGCACATACATGCAGGCAATATACTTATACACATAAAATAAAAATAATAAATAAAATATTTTTTTAAAAAAGGAAATAATATCAGCAAACTAGAAATCTGTAAAATGCTCTACAAGTCTTGATGGCTGCTACAACTTTTCAGTGCCGTGTTTAGAACTAACTGATAAGAGATGTAAACGTACATTATGAACTGAAAAAAATGTCAAAAATGTCTTAAAGGTTGATTGTGCCAGAACCAGGAAATAGAGTTTCTTTTGAATTCATATTCTAAGAACGATTGAAGAGAACTCTGAACTTGCTTCCTCCCTCTCACCTACGTTGATACAAGTAGCTAATGGGTTTCAAATCTGTGAAAATATGATAAATTCTTTGATTACTGTTAAGCAGATGACTGTATTGAGTTTAGTCAGTTAATTGTTGTTGGATGTCTGCATCATCTATTATTATTTTTTCTTTTTAAAAGTTTGTTTTTGGGCTGGGCGTGGTGGTGGCGATACCTTTAATCCCAGCACTCAGGAGACAGAGGCAGGCGGATCTCTGTGAGTTCAAGGCCAGCCTGGTCTACATAGTGAGTTCCAGGACAGCTGGGGCTGCAGGGAGACCCTGTCTCAAAAAGACCAAAAAAAAAAAAAAGGTTGTTTTGTTTTTATTATTTTTTCGTCATTTATTTAGACAACTTCACATATGTAATATTACATATTTTTCTTTCCTCAATCATTCGCAGGTCATACCTGAATTACTGATACATTTTCTTAGCTGTACCAGTTACAGTGTGTCTCTCTTTCCTCAAATATATCTTTTTTTTAATTATCAAAGATCTATTGATATCTGTCCTAGTTTCCTGATGCTGTGATAAAATAGCTTGGAAAAGGCTAGGGGAGAAAGGGTTTATTTTAGCAGTTCTGGGTTACAGTCCATTATGGTAGGGAAATCATGGCAAGAGCTTGGGCACATCATATCCACAGAAGACCAGAGGAATGAATTAGTGTACGCCTGCTCAGCTCACTTTCTCTACTCTTGACCCGTTCAGGATCCTCTTCTTAACAAATGGTGCCACCCACAGTGGGAGGGTCCTCACACCCCAATTAAGGTAATCAAGACAATCACCCAAGACACATCCATAGGCCAAAACAATGTCAATCATCCCTCATCTAAATATGTTCTCCCAAGTGATTCTAGATTGTGTCTGAGTTGACAATTAAAACTAACTATCACAGCATCTTTGAGTTTTCCTTATGCTAATGAACTTTAAAAAGACCTCCACTCTCAGTGACCTGATCAAACTGGTAGCAGAAATAAAATAGATAGCTGTTTGCAAAGGGGAGATGAAGATAATCATTCCACGCAAGCAATTTAATTATGTACTTAGAAACCTAAGATGGCTAAGGTGTTAGAACTATGCAGAGTAGGTAGCCAGATGTAAATGCAGTTTATAAAATTCAGCATGTTCTACCTATCAGCAATCAGAAAATATGAAAAACGAGTGTCCTGGGATGTAGCTCAACTGGTAGAGTGCTTGCTTGACTAGCATGTACGAGGTGCTGAGTTTGTTCTCCAGCACCATGTGAGCCTGGTGTTTGGTACTCCCCTGTAATTCCAGCACTCTAGAGGTTGAGGCCAAGCAAGAGGCTCAAGGTCATTCTTGTGCTGAGCAAGTTTAAGGCCAGCCTAGGATACATGTGACCCTGTCTCAAAAGTTGTTTTTTCTGTTTAAATTTTATCTCCTTAGTTACCAACAATATGATGACCTCTGCATGGAGAACTAAAAAAGACATTAATTAACTGTAACTTTAACATTAAGGTGATCTTTGAGACCTTTGAAGAACTTAAAAGACTTAATTCTAAAAGCAGAATTAAATGTATAACTTGTCAACAGAAAGGAAAAAGGAAATAAAACTCAATTCAATATAATACAAGAAAGAAAAAAATGCAACAAAAAAGAAAAATGAGGGTTAATGAAACCATCAAATAAGATAGCATGGGTTCAAACAGAATTCTTGTAAAATTCAGGCTTATTTGAATTGAGGGAAATGTTTCTCCTTAAAATAAAACCCCAAAGTCTAGTTTCCGTTATCTCAAGAGTTCTAGAAACATAATAACATGTAAAGATTTAGCTAAATAATCCTAAAATACATTCCGTGAGACTATTGAAAAAGAAAGCTCTGTAGCTACATTAACATAAAAGACTCTGAACAGGGCTGGGAACATAGCTTCCAGTCTTGGTTGTCAACTTGACACACCTGGAAAGAGAAACTCAACTGAAGAATTGACTCCATCATATTGGCCTGGGGACACGTCTGTGGAACACTTTCTTGATTGCTAATTGAGGTAGGAGGGCTCAACCCACAGTGGGTGGTACCATTCCTAGGCAGATGGGTCTGGACTGTATAAGAAAGTTATAAAAATGTTGAATGTATTTACCTTGGTCCTTTTTTGTATTACTATAATAAAATACCTGAGACCGGATAATTTTAAGAAGAATGAAAGTTTAATTGGCCCACAGTTCTGGAGGCTGGACAGTCTAGGAGATAAGCACAAGCATTTGCTGGGTTCCTGGTAAGAGCTTTCTGGTTGCCTCTTTTAAAGGCAGAAGGTATCACATGGGGAGACAGAGCAAGAATTCGAGGTTGGCTCTCTCCTCTTCTTATAAACCACTAAAGCCACCTTGGGGCCCAGCTCCATCACCAATATGCTAATCACCTCCCCAAGGCCTCACTTCCAAATACCATCAACAGAGAGGAGGAATATGGTAGTTTAGTGTGATGGATGGTCAGTATTATCAGTTCAACACTTAAGACCCCAGTCTCTGGGCATACCTATAAGGGATTGTCTAGATTAAGATTAGCCTCTGAGAATGTCTTTGAGGGATTGTCTCGATTACATTAGTTAATGTGGTAAGACCTGTTTTGTGGGCTGACCATTCCTTGAGCAGGGGATCCCTGATTGTAGAAAATGGAGAGGGTTAGCTGAGTACTGTATGCTTTTCTAATGTAGACTAATGCCACCAGCTCCCTCAGGGTCTTGCTGCTGGCTGTCCCTCCCTTGTTATGACAGAATGTGATATGGAATCATGAGCCAAATAAACTCTTCAGTTGAGGTTTTTTGTCAGGGTAGTGTTAGGTTCCTGGAAGGTTCCCAAAATGGCAGCACAGTTCCCAATGTTCTAAAATGGCGGGTTCGAACTTGGCCCTGGGAAAGTCCCTCTGCTTATTGGGAAACCAACCAATCCCTAGCCTGTGGAATGTTACCCAAGCACCTAACTGCCTATAAAAGATGTCTGACTTCTCCTGCTGGTTGGTGTTTTTCTGCTCCCCAGGAGGCAGCCCAGTGGTCTGTTTGCTCTCAAGTAACCTGCTGTCCCCCATGGAGTTGTCTTGGTTAGTGGTCTTCAATGCACACTTCCATACAGGTAGTTTGTCACAGCAGCAGGAAAAGAAAATAAGACAGTTAGAGATACTTAGCTCTTTCCTGCATCTCCAGGAGATTGAAAGCAAGCAATCGGTGTGTGGCTGTGGGGAGGGGAGGCCATGGTTGAAACATACTAGAGTGCAGTAATAGTCAGTGATGAGCTGAAACCCAGACGCACTGGATTTTAGAATTAGAAAAGACACAGAGAGCTGTTACTAACACCAAGCACTCAGTGGAATAAGAAGATCTGTCTCAGAAGGCTATAAACCGAAGAGGCAGGAAAGTTTCAGAAAGCTCCACAGTCCAGCACCAAAATTGGGAGATCTGAAAGTCATATAGCAAGCTGACCCTGGAAAAGAAGTCTGTACTGCTTAGTGCCTAATCATAGGTGCACAGGGGAACCATCTTACCAGTACTCCTGCTGTCTACCTTAATGCCCAAGAGAGGTCAGAAGGTGCTCCGTTTCTACATTTCCAAGCCCCAGTGGGCCTTCGCTCTTCCTTAACTCAATGGGTGGCCATCCCAGCTTCAGTGTGGGCCCAGAAAACTAATTTTAACTTGGACACAACTTTAAATACAAGAGTGCATATGGTGGAAACCATGGACTACATTGCAGAGGAAAGCAGAAGGGCTTCCTTTAGAAGCAGGGGCATCTGTGTGGGATTTGTAAGGGATGGAGGGCGGACTGATGAGGCAGCTGGACAGTCAGTGCTGTTGGTGTACCCCACCCCAGCCTTAATCAATTTTGTTTGGTCATTTTCTCCATGCTCAGAGGCTCAGAGATATTTAGAGGATTATC